ATCCTGCTTTCATTCAGCTCTTTTGGCCTGGAGCCTGTGTAAGCATCCAGGCTTAAATGCTCATACACTGACATGCTTGCTGGAATTTATTATTTTCTGATGCTGCAGAAAATATCAGAATCTGGATAATATGATGAGCTAAGACCCTGTTAAAAGGACATTTTAAATATTTTATAGTTATAGAAATTGTACTTTCCACCTTTATTGAATGGCAGTCCCAAATGTCTGGAATTTAGACAAGAATTCATGCTTTTTTTCTTTTTTTTTAATCTCATCTACAGTTTTAAAACCAGTTGCATGTGTCCCTGTTGTATCTCATCGTGTGTGTCAGGTGGTGGAGAAACTGATCCGCGGTCTGGCCATGGAGGACAGCAGGAATATGTTTGCCCTGTTTGAACACAACGACACCACAGAGAAAGCCATCGAGAGCCGCACTGTGGTGGCTGACGTGCTCGCCAAGTTTGAAAAGTAAGCCCCACCATGTTTGATTCTGAAGCAAATGTTTTTGTCTTCTGGCCAATGCTAACACAATCACTCTGTGGTCTGCAGGCTTTCAGCAAGCCCAGACGAAGGCAGCACTGGATGGAAGTTTTACTTCAAACTCTACTGCTTCTTAGACACGGACAACGTTCCCAAAGACAGCGTGGAGTTTGCTTTTATGTTCGAGCAGGTCAGACTCGTGGCTCATTGTCTGGGGATGGGACTAGGAGACTTTTGTAGCTGATTCTGACTGAACTTGGAAAGATTTTTTGTGGAAATTTAAAAAGAAAAAATGCTTAGATCTTATAGTTTTAACTATAATTTTCTCTGTGTTCCCTCAAAGGCCCATGAAGCTGTGATTCGTGGTCAATACCCGGCCCCTGAGGAGACTCTTCAGTTTCTGGCTGCTCTGAGACTTCAGTACCTTCTGGGTGATCACAACTCCCAGTCCACCATCCCTGAAATGTCCCAGGTGTTCCCCATGTCTCGACTGCGGGCCCGGGTGCAGAACTCTGCCAAGACATTCGCTCCGGGGACCGGCTCGGTGGCCGACCGCTCAGGCACGGCGGAGAGGAAACGCTCGAGTTTCCTGGAGGGGACACTGAGGCGGAGTTTCAGGAGCAGCTCGCTGAGTCGGCAGAAGCTTGAAGAAGAGAACAGCCTGGAGGCCTGGATGAGGGAGGAGGCGGCGGCCGTGAGAACCAGCGTGATGGACAAGTGGAAGAAGCTGCAGGGGATGAACCAGGAACAGGCAATGGTCAAATACATGGCGCTGGTGAAGGAGTGGCAGGGATACGGATCAACTTTGTTCAACGTCGAGGTGAGAAGAGAAATCACTTTTCTGTTTAAGCAAAAACTTTGTTCTCCATGATAAAGGATGGTTATGTTCCCATAAAGACAGCTACGCAGCCATAGGTGGAGACATGGGATTGTTTGGTTGGTTTAAAGTCATCTATTGCCAGTTCTAAACAAAACTGATCTTAGAGGGAATGATAGGAGATTTTGATGTTCCATGCTTGCTGTTTCAGTGCCGGGATGGCATGTTCCCCTCCGAGCTCTGGTTGGGTGTGAGCCGGGAGGCCATATCAGTGTACAAGCGAGGGGAGCCGTGGCCTCTGGAGGTGTTCCCGTATGAACAGATACTCTCTTTCGGAGCTCCGTTATCCAACACCTATAAAATCACCGTGGAAGGCCGAGAGCTGGTGTTTGAAACCCAAATGGTGTGTACATCCTCACTCAGTCATAACTCCTGGTCTCCCTATAATTTCAATGCAGGTCATTAAATACAACACCAACATTTACTCCTCTCCTCTGCAGGTGATGGACATCGCCAAGCTGATGAAGGCCTACATCAGCATGATCGTCAAGAAGCGCTACAGCAACTGTCAGTCCGTCAGCAGCCACGGCAGCCACTGTAGCACCTGGTGAACTCCGCCCTTTCACCCTCTGCCTCGCAGCCACATGCAGGAGTGCAGCCAGGAGGCCGAGCGTGGCCGGTGCCGGCCATGCATGGACGCCCATCCTCTGCACTCTGGAGAGAGCAGCTCGTACATTTCATGTCAGACTGACTCTGAATGCTGGAGGAAAAAAAGTAAAAAACCCCAATATGCTCTTAATGTAAACTAGCTCAACTTATCTTGACCTGGTTTCTTTTAGAAACAGTACACATCCACTCCTTATTCATCACGATAAAATGTAGGCACAGGGCTGTGGATAGTTCTGTAGCAAACATGGTGGAAAGTTATCCATAAAACTCAAGAAAACAGAATGAAGTCCAAAAGTTGACTGAGAAAGCAACATGAGAATGCTTCTTGTTATCTAAATCAACAGATATGTGATAACGAGCAGGGACCAGACTTTAAAAGACTCAAACTGCGGGCAGCTTCTAATTGGTTTCCCTCAAAGCCTGCTAGCTGTCAGTGTTATTTTATTTTTTATTTAAGATCCTTTAGGGCTTAAGATCAATTGCTCCTATAAATTCCACAAGTTAATTACTATTTTTCATAAAGTGATAAAATGCTTGAAGGACTATCATCCTTGTCACATTCCACCTCTGTTCAGCCAACATAATATGAAGTTTTTGTTTTAAAGATGGAAGTTGTGTACAATCTTCACTTTCTTAAATAAGCTAACAAGTGCACATTTTTGCCCCACATTAAAGTAAGGCGGACTTCTAGCTAAGCTTCCTAAACTGACTAGAGAAAACAGAACAAAGGATCAGTTTAATCTGTTAATCCCAAGGCGTACAAAGTGTACCATGACAGACGTTCACCCCCAGACTCTGATTACAAACCACAGTCTCTTAGACCAAAGAAAACTAGGTGGTGGTTAAACACAATCATATTTTTATATTAGTCTTCATGAAGTCAGATGCAGCTTCTAAAAGGTGGATGTGTCTTGTTTTGAAAAGAAACGGTTAATTTTCTGTCCGATGGTAAACCTCTGAGGCCCTACAGGGACTGTTTTTGCAGAAGGGGTCGATTTCTCACAGAGGTTGGTAAGCGTGTGTGTGTGTGTGTGTGTGTGCGAGGAAGTATGTTATTAGAAAAAAAGAAGAGTGTCTACAGGCTGTCCGAATGTATAAAAAAATTAAAGGCAAAGAAGACGGAGGAAAAACAACTACAGCCTACAAGCCTTTTCCTCTGTTTTGAGAAACTCTGGGACTTGACCTTTTCCTGTTCACTGTAAATAAGATGCAACTGTACCTTTACGTTTGTGACTGATTGTTTTGCTTACGATACAAAGTGCCTGTTCCAACTGAAGCAGGATGATATCTAATCAGATTTAGCCTTTATTGGTGCCACACTCGTTCCTGTGTAGCCTGAATCTGAAAGGTGCTCCCACACACATTTCCCTTTAACTGCCAATGTATTTGTGCACTTCAAACTCTGACCAGCAATGGACGTCATTCAAGGGTTTTTAAATCTGTCAGTTGTGAGAAACTAAACGAATTGAGGCGTAAATTGTTTATAATATTAAAGATACTGATATATGGCAGCAGCCTGGATCATTTACTAATTGAACGTTTGCAAATGTACCCGAGTACGTCAGTCTTACTGACAATGTTGCGTTGACAATATTGGACATATACATGCAGTTGTTTTTATCTTTTTCTCCAAACCTTTTTTCTTTCTTTCTTTTTTTGCTGTTGGGAAAGAAAAAAAGAAAAAAGCTTTGTATAATAAAATATTTGCAGATGGGTAATTTGACGTCAGACAATCTTTTACGTCTCTTTCTGATCCACGTTGACATCTGCTGGCAACAAATGTGAACTGCAACACCATCTTTCCCTTTAGAATAACCTGAACTTAAAATGTAAATTGGTTTTTTGGGGGGTAGAAAAGAGGAAATATTGGAATACATTTTTTAAAAACGTGAAATAAGAAGATGTAGATATTTTTTCTGTCTGCTGCCTGTCTACAAAAAGCACTTACAAATTCAAAAAAAGCTATTACATGATGTGTCTATTACATAATAGACATTATAAGAATTAATCGTTGTATTTCAGTGTAATCTGTCACGATTTAGCTTGAATGGCTTGTTCAGTTGGACTGTTGCAGTGTAACATTCCTAAAAAAGTTTCACTGGACCTCCGCGGGCGGCAGATCCATCCAAAGATGCGTGTGCAGGTTTCCTCCACAGTGCCTTGTTGTATATGATGTACACTTTTTTTTTTCATGTGTGGGTTCTTTTTTTGGTATATGTGCAATGTTATATATACTTTAATCATGTGGCTGTACATTTTATATTGTAAGTCTTTGCCTTCTATTTTTTTTCTCCTGAATCCTGATCAGATGGCAGTTTTCCCAAGCTAACAAATCTTGTATTTTTCTCTAAACAACTATCTGACTGTGGATCTTTGACACAATTTTTTGTGGGGGGGGGTTCCTCCTAGCTGTAATTAGTGTTATGTGCTGAACTGATGAATCTAACAATAAATCATTACACTTTTGGTCTCAAGTGACCGTTTTGTTTTTCCTGAATATTAAAAAAAAGGTTTAGTTTAAGAAAGTTAATGTGACAACCAACGGCTAAAGCTGCTGGACACACATCCAAGAACCTAAAAAAAGGCCACAAATAAATACACCTCACCAACAGTAGCTACTTTTTTCCTTTCTACTTATCATCACCATGTATATATCTCACATCCTCTAGTTGATCTCAAGGGTACTTAACTTCACTAACCAGTCAAGTCACTTCCTCTTACACTCAACTTCCACCACCTTGATTCCTAATCTTGGTTGGGGGTGATGACAACATCCCCCCCCCCGACCTGTGGTCCTGGCTCCCCCTTGCCGTAGCATGTGTGTTGTACCTTGTCAATCTCTAGCTGTGAGAGCCAAATGTTGAATCGAACTTGCGGCTTCCACTCCAAAGGCGTGTAGTCTTACCACTACGCTATCCAGCTGCTAGCTCGCTATATATGTATGTATCTATATATCTATATAGATAGAGAGATAAGATCAGTATTAAACACATACCTAACAAGAGCAATCTGGAACAGCGCTTTTGTTGCAGAAGTCAGTTAGTTGTGGTCATAGTTCTTCAGCATGTAGCTCACACTGCAGAAGCATAAATGGAGTGAAAAAAATTAAGTGACAGGTAATTTAAAATGCAACATTTCTCACAGCTCAGTATCAGCTAACACTAAATGTTTGTGTAGTTTGTTACACACCTAATTTTGCTAACTGTGGTAAAGTTTACAGCAATGCACTAAGTTGGAGTGGGGCAGAGCAGCTGTGCTGTTCATGGTCAATGTTAAGTTACTGCTTTTTAGTTTTAGTTTGACTTCAAGTGCATTTCTGAGCTTGTACTTTTTCACTTTTACTTGAGTAAAGACTGCTATTATTTCAACACCAGTATCTGTACTTAAGTGACGAATATCTGATATTTCGCCACCTAGGTTTATTGATGTTACACTGTCTGATCAGTGTTCCCATGGATGTCACCAGCCCAGCTGTCATAAATAACATTTCTGTGATAATATGCAGTAGTGTTCTTTGGTCTAGATGAGCAAAAATGATACCTTTGATCACTGGGGGTTTGATTTCATCTCTTGTAACGATGCCACACACGTAGCATCCTGCAGCAGATACTCAAAACCAATATGACGTCGGGCAAATAACTCGCACAGCTTTGTATCTATAAATATTCTTTATACATTACATCCATGTTACAGTCAAAACAAATAGAAATACAGCCAACAGCAAAAGTCACATTCAAGTCATTTCTGTGCTGCGCATTGCAACGTCGACACCCAGCCTCCTAAGGCACCAAAAAAAGTAAATGACTCGTAGGTCAAGAACAGATTAGCCCATGGCCCAAACATCACAGGGCTCATGGAAGCTCAAAAGAATGGTTTACAGACAGGGAAAAACACAATTTCCAATAGCTATATTTATACTGGCACAAACCATCTGAAGATCAGTCCTTTGAGGCAAACACTGCCATGCTGAACAGATGTCACTTTGCCAGCTTATACCAGCACTGGAAATGTTATGAATGACAATGAAATCTAAAAAAGGGGGATCGGGGGGTCACGTTATGGCCCCATGTCATAATTTAAATTGTGTTTATGTACATTGGGTGTCTGCCCCTTCATCCCTGGGTCCAACCATTTCTGCTTACCCATTATGTTGAGTTCTATGTGGCACCTGGTGATTGGACGGGAGACTGATGGTAGCTCCTTTAAATTAGAGACCTATTAGGCTGACCTCTCTCCTCCTTCCTCCTAAGAATCGATAAGCATAGAAAGCCATTTCTATGGACATTATCTTGGACATTCCCTCCAGGAAGCATAGATGTGGGAAGCATTTTTCTTTTTCTTTGGCCTCGTGCACACCCTGATATTGTCTACATTAATACATAAATAAATCTCTTCTTTCTGGAGTGCAATTCTGCCGTGGCACTCTTCAGTCCTTTAGATTGGTGAAAAATGCTTCTTTTCACTTTTTATGCTACACCCATGATTCTTCTAGGACTGACAGTAACATCATGAGGGCTCATCCAGGATTTGGACCTCTTATACCCAAAGCAAGAATCACATCCTTAACCAGCATTAAATGTTTGCTGGATCATTTTTTTCAATATCATTTTGACATCAGGTTTTTGTGCTCATATGAAATGTGTCATAATTGCTGCATCCCTGTCTGTCAAATCCTTTTATCGGCATAAAACATAAAGCAGGACATCTGGTTGTATAGTTACAAAGCTCAGAGACCCTGCTTAAAATTAAAAGCTATACATCATTCCTAAGTACAGCTCTGAACCTAGAACACTTTTGTGTTAGCAGTCCTGCAATGATGCATTAACAATATAACACTTTTAAATAATTCGTAATTCGTAATAACAGTACATTGTAACACTGATTTTCAGCAGCTGACAGTGTGTCCAAAAATAGCCGACCCAAGAAGAAGAAAAAGAAATAAAGAGAGGGTGATGCCCATATGGCTCCCATATTGGAAGACTTGCTTCTCGAAAAAAGTTCATAAAATTCACTTTGTCTTCAGTCTGATCAACGCCTATTAGTTGATAATTTGGTCTATCTCAGCAATTTTTCCTCAAATTTTGAAGAAATTTGAGAAAACTGAGAAAAATGGAGGACAAAAGAATAAGTTGCAGAAAAAAATCTATATACAGCAGACGAACAGTATCTGAAAGCCAAAAACGGGGAGGAAAGGCTGAGGAATGAAAATTACACAAGAACTGGACTGGAAGTCAGTGGCATCAGTTCTTTTTGAGTTTTAAATGTAAAATGTTTGTTTCAAATCATTCAATATTTACAAGGGCGTCTATAGCCGTCTGGAAATCATGGTGGAGGCTCTGTCATAATTTGGGGCCGAATTTCAGCCGGTGTTCTTGGGGGATGTTTTCTAAATGTATAGAAGTCTACCATCAGATTTTAATTCACCATGAATGCCATCCACAAAGCTTCTGATCATTTTCAGACACACTGCCAACACTGTCAGTCGTGGACTGACCTCCCCAGAGCCTTGACTTCAACATTATTGAAGCAACGTTGAATCATCAGAGTAAATGGAACAAAAAGACAGCCAACATCCAAAGAAGAACTTTGAATGGCTTTTCCAGAAGTCTGGAGAACTACTGCTGAATGCTCCTTAAAGAAATTGCAAGAGGTAAGTAAGCTTGTCTAAGAAAGTTCTGGCTGTGTTGAAAAAGAAATGTCAAACCAATTATTGACTTTCAAGCTTGTTAGAATTGTTTTGTTTTTGGGGTTTTTTTTGCCTTATATCCTGTATTTCCATCTATGTTTGCACTTATTTGAATAAATCGCTACACTTATTTCACATTTTCCTAACAAAACCTAAAGAAATTAAGGGTGGCTTGAGACTATGACACCATACTGTCTCTATGCCACATTAGAGCAGAGATATATGAGAGCAAGAGAGAGAGAGGATATTGGCTGTGTACAGTATTCCTCAACCTTGAACAGGCAACCCTGTGATCCTACACCATGTCTGATGTTGTGCCTTAGATTTGTAATCTGGATAATCCCATCACTTCCTTCAATTCCACATGACATGAGTGCCACACAACAGTTTAAAAGGAAAACCACAAAAAAAAAGATTTATGTGAGGGTGGCTCATGTCTCTGTCACAAAATAAACAGTGTTATATCTCAGAGTAAAAACAAAGGCACCAACACAAAAATGTGAGTTACTGAAGGTATTAGATTGGTTTGAGGACCAGCCCCAGACAGCACACACAGTTCAAATAATTAAAAGTATTAAGTCACGGAAAAAATCTGCAAAAAAACAACTTTGCAGCACAGCTCAGACTGTAACTCCCAGATGTAACCCATCAGATGCTTCGTCTCTGCACAAATACTGCTTGGAGTTTATACCGATGTTACACGAATGACAACCTCTCCCGAATCACTGTCCTGGCTGAGGTTGTTTCGGGCTACCATTCTGTGGCAAAAGGGTGCCAAACACAGGCAAGTCCATGGATGTGATCCCAGCTGGGTCGGGTGTAAGGGGCCGCTGGGCCCAAAAGTGGCCAAAGGCAACCAAAGTGTCCTGGGGGCCAGCGAAGAGTGACCAGTGCTCGTGTCCTCCATGTCCTTGGTCTTGTCATAGCTTTGAACATCCCAGTGGAGGTTCACTGCTCGCCAGCGCAGAAACACGTTGTACACTGCTGCCCCCTCGTGGATGATCAAGCCTGTTATGATGACAGCAATTGACACGTTTATAGGAATTTTGATTTTAGGCAGTTTGTCATGATCAACTTTCAGGAAATCTTTACTGTAAGGTTTTCTAAGTGCTTGAATTGAAGGCAACTCGATTTCTTTTCCAAGTAGTTGAAGACATTTCACCTCTCATCTGAAAGCTCTAGCAGCTGATGGGAAGTCCCACATATTCAAACTGTAGTGGTGTTGGTGCCTTGCTGACTGTCCTGAGTGCTGTCGATCTACCTGGTAATCATGTGAGCCATTATGGTCACGTGAGCCAAGGTGCGAATTCTTAAATGTAAATGGCCTGCATTTGTATAGCGCTTTTCTAGTCCATAGGACCCCAAAGCGCTTTACACTACGTTCAGTCATTCACCCATTCACACACACATTCACACACTGGCGATAGCAAGCTACATTGTAGCCACAGCTGCCCTGGGGCGCACTGACAGAGTTGTCTTCACCAACTTAAAAAGTAGTCCAGTTGCCTTCAACTTGAGCACATAGAACTACCACGACCTGGATGACTGTTAACCTGCACAGACAGATATAAAATATTTTGCAAGTATTTTGTCTTTTTGTTTCCTCTTACATATTTCATCTTTCCTCACTTTAAAGTTGCCCTTCTCTCCATCTCTTCCAACAACATCTATAAACTATGTGCTGAGAAAGCTGTTTTATTTTTTGTGTGTGGATCCAGAGTAACACCAAAGCCTTTGTTGATTTTAAAGGCTGAACGTGGCTTTTTATATGCATGTTAGAGGAAATCTGAAGGGAAATGCATTTTCTGTATGCTCCACTGACAAAAAAAACCCAGTGGAGTGGTAGATGAGTGACAAATTTAGGGATACCCTGCCTCCCTAAATTGGAAAAATACATAAAAACCTTTTTAGTGTTTGTACTGTCTGCTCAGAAGGTGGTATTTTATGTTGTTGTTTTTTCTAGTGATTTATTGTGTAACCCAACCTAAGGTGGCTGTGACATTTCTTGACAACAGCGAGCGGTTGTCAAGAAATCAGTGTTGGAAAGGTTCAGTCTGCTAACATGGCTACAACAAAAGACTGAAGAGAAATACTCCCTTGGATATGCTCAGTACTATTATGAGATAGCATGAAACTGACTGTGGATGAATCAAAAACACAGGAGTGCATTATTTTCTTGGCACCATAAATTATAAAAAGGTCCAGCATTATTCTGAGAGATGAACTTTTAGACTGCTAATCTTAGAAACCTTTCATATTTGTGAAACTAATTTGTAGCACCGACTGCTAAAAAGATCATTTACAGTCATTTATGTCCTGCAAACAAGGGCGGAGCATCGACATTATCTCACCAGTCAAAACTGACACAAGTATGATGGCAAAAAACTGCATCGTATATAAACACATGATGACACAGTTTCAACGTACAACAGACCAAGAACGATCATTTAAACAACCCGTTCATGTGTCTGTGTTAGTTCTCTGTCATCCAGATCACCGTAGTCTTAACGGCTTGAAAAAAGGAGACAACTGGACTGAACTGGTAACTGAAGAAGGCTCTTGGATGACTCCATTAAGCTACTGGGAAACTTCAACAGCCTGCCTGATCTGAACCTAAACAGTCTTCTATTGTTGGACTTCTCTGCCAACCACCGATTGTCCATGACACACACCACAGTGACCAATTTTATAATCATATTATCAGACCTGCGGGCATCTACGCTCATGTATACGTACTGACACTCATTCAGTACAGTGACTCATGGTCTCCACAGAAAGACACTGTAATTTTGAATCTCTTAGCGATTAAATGGCTTTCATGTCTTCCTCTTCTCACAAGCCTAAATGTTTTATTTCTTTCATTTTGTTTTTGTTTATGAAATGCTAATATAAAATAATTATTGAATAAAAACTTTATTTGTACTAAAGAAGTCCAAGAAAGACAGACACCAAGTCCCTGCACAACTTTTCATTTTGTAATTACTTTTCCGTACATGAAAAATTATTAAAGTTTTGGTACCACGATGCAATAAATAAGCAAACTAGAGATCTGCAGTGTGCAAGCTGTTATTTTTCTTTTCCCACGTATTGACTCATATTTCAGCACAGCACCTTTTCTGGTGTAGATGTGCATGTATCATATCCTATTTTGATATACCTTTATTAGTCCCACAAGGGGAAATTTCATATTATATCCTATTTTAGGAATTACTTTTCAACCAATTTAGATGTTGAGAAAAATATTATTTATAATCCTATTTGACAGAAAATCTTTAAGATGGCAAAGAAATATTTGCTAAAATACTGAACTGATCACTAAACTGTGGTTCCAAGGCTGTTCATACTTTAGTCGATAACCTCAAAGCACAATGCAGTATTTTTTTGCCCGAGATCATACACTGTCCGTGAAGTGTAAAGTGGATCTCGGAGTCTTAGGAAGGATTTATGGTCTGTCCAATGTGTATATTGGATGGTTGGATAACAAAAACCCAACAGCTCTGACTCATAGGGGGAATCATTTCTCAGACTTTCCACACTCACTTCACGTTGTGATCGTCCAGCTTTGCAGAGGTGAGAGGAGACCTGAGCACTGAGTACTGACTGTACTTTCTAGCTCTGTTGCCCTCAGCCAACCACCCCCTCACTCTGTCCTCAGAACAGCTAAACACGTTTAAGAGCATATCTAAGGAATGAGTTTATAAAGACACTGATTTTAAGCACTGAAATTTAGGCCTATGTTTAGGAATTTTTGTTATACAAGTACATTTGAGATTAAATGCTCTGCTTGAAACTAGAATTGTTGTCTTGTGGTGTCATGCTTTTGTCAAAAAGTCAGATACATCCACATCTGAGTTTCAGGGAATTTCCTAAAAGTTACACATTGCCATGACAGAGAGTCAGCCACATCAACAAAGCACAGGTGTTTGGTGTGCAGCCGCATGCCCCATTCTCACCTACACAGACCAGGTCCATGAAGCCATACATGCCGTAGCAGATCTGGAAGAGGACATCGCGACGCTGCCAGGTGGCCTGAGGGCTGAGCGCCGACCAGAGCAGCCAGGAGATGCTGGCTACAAGGAAGAGAGAGCCCAGGAACACCGCAATGATCTGCACCTTCTCCACCAGGGTAATGGTGATGGACTGCCACTGCACAAAGAACAGAGGCAATACATTACATACACACTTTGACTTTAAAGACTTTGTTTATATTTTAGCAAGAGTTAAGATAAAGTAAGATCTTTATTTATCCCGTGGGAAATTCTTTTGTCATGACAACCTAATCAAAACAGTATTTTTGCTCCATGTCGGATCAATCTGCAGCACCACAAAATTCGGATGCCCGACCTGTGTTAATCAAATACATAAATAAAGGAGGGCCTTTCCACAGTATCATGTCAGTGTGACAAGGCAGTCCAAGTCCCATTTTTATGATTAAAAACAATGTTGGACTTATTAATGCATTATTGAATATATAATTATATCCATCCATCTGTTCATTCCATGCATCTGTCAATCAATCCGTCCATTTTCAGAAAGCAGCAGCCTAATCAGAGAAGCCCGGCCCTCCCTGTCCCACCTCTCGATGATATTAATCTCTTGGTCACTGCTCAAAGTTCAGTGTGAGGGTGGGACTGGAGCTCAACCAGTAAACTGTAGTGAAGCGAGTTCTTCTCACTCATCTGTCTACACTACAACAAACTAGTACAGTACAGTGTATATCTAAATAATATTAAACAATATAATAAGTTGTTAATTGTGCTAAAATAATTTTTAATTATTATTATTTTTTTTTAGTTTGGGCAAAATGACTTGACCCTTAAATGTCTTACAGTGGTTTTGTCCACCTCTTACCGTTCCCTAAAAGACATTGTTTTCTATATCTACCATACAGCGAAGCATAAACAGTCTGGATGTAAGCAGAACACATCTGTTTTTTTGTCACCTCATTTAAATAATCCTGGTAACAGGTACTAGACATAATTGTGCCCACTATCTTGTCTGGGAGGAAGGTGATTTTTTCTTTTCCTTTTCTTTAAAAAATGGAAATAACACAGTGGTCTCACTGAAAGCTGAGTTTTCAAGGTATGTTATGGTGATGAGCACTCTGTAAAAACAAAAGAATCAATAGGAATACACTAATCATACACATTTCACTGCAGGTTGAGATGCGCTGAAGCGAAGTGTGTGTGTGTGTGTGTGTCACTGACTGTGCTCTAGAGCAGCGGTCTCCAACCTTTTTTGCGCCACGGACCGGTTTATGCCCGACAATATTTTCATGGACCGGCCTTTAAGGTGTCGCGGATAAATACAACAAAATAAAACTAGTACCGGTACCGAAAAAAAGAAGATTTATTCATAACACACGTGAAAAGACCCAGGAAAACCGAGTAAACGATAAAAACGATAACAAAATAACGCTGAAAACCGATAAAAACCCTGAAAACCATACATTTCACACCTGAGCCTCAACTCTCGCGGCCCGGTACCAAACGACTCACGGACCGGTACCGGTCCGAGGCCCCGGGGTTGGGGACCGCTGTCTTAGAATACATTTAGTTGTATCTGTGTTAAGGATCACCTTGTTTTATCCCCCCTCTTAGTCTTCTGACCGTCCATTTCGCCAAGAAACGCGTCTAAAGTTTATTTACACTTATAAGCATGAGGCCAGCAGGCATAAACCCTGTGGACACTGCTGCGAGGCAGAGAGATTATCCACTATGTGATTGGTGAACTCTGGCAGTTCTTTCAGCTCATATCCGGTTTCTATATTATTGCGGGTCAATACAACTATTCATACCACCAGAATACTCCCCACAGTCCGCCACTGAGCGCAGGGATAATTACTACACTCGTTTTATTTGGCGATAACAGAGGCGGAATTGCACAAAACCACCCTGTGAGGACCAAAAAACACAATGAGAAACCATTATCCCCATAAATTGTGCTTTTATTTTAGACAACACTATGTTTTGAGCAGCAGTAGCTGTGAACAGTTCACCAACAACGATTTGAAAACAACACAGCAGTTTATGTTAGTTTATACAGCCTCGTGTGATTTTAAATGATGCCTAACAAAGAAATAGAATATTTTCATACAGCAGAAAAACGTGACGTCATGTTCTGTTCGAAACGAGAAGCCACAAAACGGAGCCGCGAAAACACCTCGAAAGATTTTAAGTTGTCTGGTTGTTGTACACAGAGTTTTTTTCTTAGCCTTCCTTTTATTATACAACTATCAGTTAAGAAAAGCCTGAAAGGAAGCGAGAGAAGCGCGCAGAAAACCCTCCACCGAGATGGTAAACACTCAAACACTCCACTCACTAACTTGCTGCATATAACTACTTTTATTAAGTATAACAAAGCAGCTTCGAATGATATCAATCAGTGCAGTGATGTGGGGAGGCTCACACGACAGACCTGCTAAAAGTGACCTTAAATATGCATTATTATGCATCAGATTCAAACATGCATAACAGAATGCATCAGTGCCGCACTGTACTGCGCTACTTTAAATTGGTCATTTTGCATCTTTTTAAATTTTAACTGCTTTCAAATCGGCTGCACGTTTGAAAATAGCTTGGTGTTCATGCATTGTCAGTATGGTAATAATGCACTGGGGTTTGATCTCAGAGGGCATTTTTACATAACTTGGGACTTTAGGACTGCACCCTGCATGCGCAATCTGGTCCAATCTCGGAAACTAAGCATTAGACTGATTTCACAGTTTTAAGCTCACATAGGCTACACACGTGTGCCACAGTCCTGCTAATATAAAAATCTATGTATCAAAATAAAAATGGGCCTCTTTATTCACCCTAAAGTCAGTGCTGTGCTTAGAAGAAAATAAAACTGCACCAAAATAAACCTGCTTTTTTTTTTTTTTTTTACATGGTGCCACATTCCTGTTAATTAAAACATCTTTGCATACAAATAAGGTGTGTAGTCAGGTGACTTTAGCTTGTCTCATTGAAGAAAAATATAAAGTGTTTAACTCCATTCATTGCAAATGCATAATGGACATGACTAAATCTCGTTGCAAAGGACTCCGAAAAAATTCATGGATGTTTAACATTCCAATATTGTACACGGGTTGTGTGTGCTAATGGAAAACTAAAGTGAAGTTTGAAGGGTTGCAGTTTTAAAACACGAGAATAAAGGTGGTGCACTAAAGCAAATGTAAAAGTGACTTCCACAGAGCCATTTAACAGTAGAAGGAGGGCTGGGGGTGGTCCAGAACGGCACAGAGAGGCAACACATGCCTAATACAAGAATAAAATACTCTGTAAAGTTACTCTGTAAAAAGCAAAATTCCTGCGTTTAAAAAATCTTGCTTGAGTAAAAACTTAAAAAATATTATCAGAGAAATAAAATAAGCCTGATTTTATTTATCCCAAAGGTTGGGAAACTACTGTCTTGATATTGTACAGATACAATTACAGATAATTACAGACACCAAAACATGAAAACCAATGTTGCTCAGTAAAGATAAAAAACATATGAATTTAAAATCTAAATATAGTATAATAAGGAGTTTAAATCTAAACTGAATACAGGTAATTTGGTGGTAAAGGTTTTCTTTAAGTGTCCTTGTGGGAGTATAGTGAAAAAAATGATGTAAGAAGATTTAAAATAAGTTAAAAACTGCAGTAGATGTTGTTAGGCAGTCATCTTTGTAGCAACATTCTTTGTAGTATTTGTGATTTGTAATTTATGTTTCTTTGAAGACACAAAGTAGGATGAAAAGACTGTCGCCGAGCTGGAGTAAACTCCTGAGCAGGATACGAAAAGTAAGGAAAACACAAGAGGCACAAAATGTAATTAATGTGATGCAACTTCTGCTAAGTTATATATTTATATATATATATATATATTTTGTATACATATGTAAACAAAAACCTGAGTGAAAGAGCCTGTCATCTCCTCTGTCCAACAGGCTATAGCCAACCTAACTAGAAGGACCTACACATGGCTGGATAAACACATTAACCAAAACAGGACGAGGAACTCTGACAGACGACAATACAAAGAAATGACCAAACAGTTCAAGACTACTCTGAAAACATGCTACAAGAATGACAAAGTCTCCAAAAAGGAGATGAGGATGGCCAAGAAGCAGTGGAAGGAGGCCATGAAGAAAGTAAAAAAGGAGGACAAAAGGAGGGAAAAACTATGGAGCTCAATCAATAACAATAAGAAAACAGAAAATAGGAGAATGGAGAGGGAGATACCAGAAAGTACAGAATAAACTTTTGAATAAAAATACTTGGAAACAGAAGATTGTTGACAACGAGCAGATGACTGAAGCTGCACGATGCTCATTTCAGAAGAAAAGACTTAAGGCGGACTTTGTGGACAGAAACTAAAGCTCTGCTGAGCCTCAGCTGTGTGTTTGTTCAGTCTGCCAGTGACTCAACTCCCATCTGGAGCGAACAGATATGAAAAGGCCTGAATGTTCTTCAGTGAGAGAAACGATCCAGAATGCAGATATTTTAAGCCTCAGGAGTCTCTGTCTGTTCGGGCTTTTGAAAGAAAGAACGACTGCAGGAATCCTGATGCTCCAAAATGACAGCAGTGACGTGAAGTGGCACCAGAAACACACAGCAGGTTCATACTCAACGCTGCATCCATCTCAAGCTACCAAAAGCAGCCATCGCTGTCTCTGTTTTCATCAAAATAAATTCTGTACTTGATTACTTTAAGAGAAGAGACATTTTCTTTAAGTTTAGCTGAGCAAAAAAAAAAGAGCAATAGAGGCAAAAATATCTCAGTTATAGATTTCTATAATTCAGAAAGATCACAGCTGTCACTGGATACTGGTTACACATCTTTTCTCTTTTTTCTTCTTCTTTTTTTTGTGTCCCGTTTGGATCTTTAGCATCAGAATTGTTGTCTTAAGTCCAAGAAAGATGCCAAGCGTATTTATTTTACCAAGTGGATCATCATGGCCTTGCCATATTGGTCCATTTGATTGACCTTGGTTACAATTATGCATTTATTTTATTTTCGGTTGCTACAAGCAGGACAGACATGACTGGGGGATGGGACAGGGAGAAAGAATGAAAGAAAGAGAGGGAGAGAAAGAAAACCAGAGGGGAGAAGAGACGGTGAGAAGGGGGGGAAGAAAGGAAAAACAAACAAAACACCTGGATCACCTGCATGGAGAAAAAAAAACTGAAGAGAAAGCAAACAACAAAGAGCAAAATAATAAATACAGCACCATCACAATAAACTAGCTAGCAGTAGATAACAGTAGATACTAAATATTAAACGATATTGTGCAGCAAGCAAGATAGACAGCGCACAATGTGCTTTGAGGCAGCAGCCAAGAAAGCTGTAGTCCGCGTCTGTGAACACCTACACATCTTTTCTCTAATGTCACACCATCCGTTTGTTATCCAAGCTTTCTCTTAACAACGTCTACTCTGAAACCTATAGGTTCTCTTTATTATTGAGTGCTAAACCTTCTCTTAAAGCTAGCAATCTTGGTTAGCAAGTCCATACAGAGAATTAACTTCTTCTATAGTCTGTACCACGCAGCAAGATATGCTATTTATCAGACAGTGACACTGAAAATACAAAACACAAACACAGTTCAGAGGTTCAATTCAGCGACTCAAATAAGCAGAGATTAAGCCTACGAGATATCAATGGGCTACAGCCGCCCATATCAGCAGCACATCTGTCAATCAAAACAGCCACATTTCAACTATAGACCAAACTCTAAATGGGTTATTTAAAAAAATATCCTTGTACTGTTTTTATTTAAAAAGCACTGTTGTGGCACAGCAAGAAGGTCCTGAGTTCAATTCCACCATCAGGCCGGGGTCTTTCTGTGTGGAGTTTGCATGTTCTCCCCGTGTTTGCGTGGGTTCCGTCCGGGTACTCCGGCTTCCTCCCACCGTCCAAAGACATGCAGCTTGTGGGGATAGGTTAATTGGATAATCCAAATTGGTGTTAATGCGGGAGTGAATGTGAGCGCAAATGGTTGTCTGTCTCTGTGTTAGCCCTGTGACAGACTGGCGACCTGTCCAGGGTGTACCCTGCCTCTCGCCCTATGACAGCTGGGATAGGCTCCAGCACCCCCCATGACCCTGAAAAGGATAAGCGGAAGCGAATGGATGGATGGATGTTTCTATAAAAGGGAAAATCAAAAGCATTTTTGCACCATGCTGTGTTCAGTTCTGCTGTAAATTTTGACATTTTAATGTCAGCTCATCAAATATATGCTGACATGTTTCAGTCTAAGAACTAAAGTGGTAAAGCAACTGCTTATTACAGCCATCACTAGTGCTCAAGTCTTTCAAATTTCTAGCAATGTAACCGGAGTAAATCTTTTTGAGGGCTACTATTTCAAGTGGATACTGAGATTCAACTAAAGCTAGAAATGTTAATTATGTGCGTCTGTCTGGTGAGGCTGCATTACTTATTATTGACTTCAGCGACTACATCATTGTCATATTTAAACCCTCCATCCAACTTTTTAACTGCTTAATCATGGCAGGCCCGAGACAGATTACACCAGATCAAACCCAGGGTACACCTTCAAACCAAATGCCTTTTTGCTGTAACAGGTACTCCAGTTCTTTTATATTTCTTGGTTTAAGAATACCGACATTATATGTTTGCATTGACCTTCTCTGTTATTTCAGCCCTGACTGCAGCATTGTGTATTTCCAGCTATGGATCTGATGTGTCATTGTGGTTGAAGCTGTGTAACTGCTGCTAAAAAAAATCCGTCTAGTTTATAATCTAAAGTTTTTGCAAAACAACTCTGCATCTGAAGGGTTAAATCCTACTTTGAAAAAGGTCAAGATTCATCCACTTATTTCTACTTTCTGTGCACAATGAGTCACTGAACTGCAATTAGAGGCGCTTATTTAAACGTCAGTACGGAGAAAAGTGTGCATCATCATCATCATAGGATAAGTGCACTTCCACATTTGGGTTCTGAGTATGACTTTAAGCCAACATTTTACAAGAGCAGCTCTAACAGACGCAGGTGGGTTTATCTGTTGTCAGCTTGCCAGTGAAATGGCTTTTTACCAGTTTGGCTCCGTGAGGCTGTTTTTACTCCAACTGAGAAGCTGTGAATATTTCTGAGCATAAATCCAACTGATGGGTCGATAACATCAGTGACTGTAAAAACAATTTCTAGTTAATGCCCCTATAATAATTTAGAGAGCATGCTTAGTGGGGGCAAATTGTAACCTCGACGGTAGTAAAAAGCAGTTAAAAAAAGGCGGACAGGAAACAAATGGCTGCAGTTTGGTGGCATGTGTCATTTTTAGCCTCTTAAAACTACAAATCTGCAGAGAGCATTTTGTTTTGGAAAAAAGAGCACTCGCTTTTTCAATCATATCCATGTGCACTGAATTGGCAGTTACCAAAAAAATCATCAGTTACTCCATAATGTGACTGTTTGGTATAATCATGCAGAGCAGCAAAGGTCTGCTGAAGGTCTCCAAAACAGCTGCTGTTTTCAACGTTAATGGGGTAAAAAGAAAAAAAAAACATGACAGGATCTTTTAGCTCAAAATTGTATATTAAAAATAACAGTCATCGAAATGACCCTGAAACATCTGGTTTTTTGATGTACTCTGTCCTTTCCACACAGTTTGCAAGTATGAAGACTGAAGAATCTCATTTAGAAATTAGTGAAGTGGAATGACCTTATTAGACAGTTAAAATAAATCAGAAATCACCTTTTATGTGGTTTTTACCTCTGCCACAGAAAACCATGAAAAACCAATGTGAGATATTCTATTTGTTCAGTTCATGAATAGGATTTGGCCATATTTTTTTAACAAGATGTTAAGAATTAGTTTGAAACTCATAAGGAAGTATACTTTGTGCATGCAGCACATATGTTGTCAAGAGTCTCCAGGGGAAAGAATATGGAGTTTAGAAAAACTGACAACCTTTGTATTTTGACCCGTATCATGTTCTTTTTCTTACCCTAACCTAACAGTTTTATTAACATGAGGCCGGGCGTTGTCGAACAACAGAAAGAACCCAGGACTCACTGCACCCGCATGAGGTCTGACAGTGGGTCTAAGGTTTTTATGGCAGTCAGGTTGCTGTTTGAGCATAACATTGTCCATGGCTTCTCCAGATCCTTTTTATGTCTGTCACATATGCTCACACTGAACCTGCTTTCATCTGTAAAAAGCACAGGGATTTACCAACTCTAGTATTCAACTGGCATTCACAAATGCCTACCTGTGCAACCTCTACAGGGCCCAGGCATTGCCAGTTGACTCAAGGCACTTTAAATTGTAAGGTGAAGACTCTACAGGGGTCTCGAACTCAAGTCCTCAAGGGCCGCTGTCCTGAAACTTTTCCATATGTCCTTGCTGCAACACACCTGAAGACGATTTGTAGGTTATTAGCAAGACTATAGAACTTGAATGCATGCTGAGGTGGCAACAGGGACACATGGAAAAGTTTCAGGACACTGGACCTCAAGGACTGGAGTTTGAGACCTTTCCTCACCAATAATATAAAGAAAACAGAGAAAACCCCCAAAATCACATGATTCCCCTTTGAGCAAGCTATTAAGTAGTGACACTGACCTAGCCAAATGCTAAAACTAGTGAAACCATCAGAAAAGATGAGGAGGGACAAAGCGTCAGTGGCCTCCACCTATTAAACCAGTCTTGCTTTGGCGGTTCTGTCATTGTTGCCCCTGTTTTTAATTTAACATCAAAGCAGCTGAAACTGATTAACAACCCTTAACTGACCAGATCAGACAAGATTGTTTTGTTTTTGTTTGTTTTTTTGAGCAGTGTACGCAAGTGGTCTGATAAAAAAAAAAAATGAATTCAGGAAAACCAAAATAATTGGAAGTACTTGACCAAGAATGAAAAAAAGGAAAATTCACATAATGAAACAGCACTCTGCTCTCCTACGCTACTAGCTTATCCCAGCCTACACTAAGCATAGAGCAGGGTACCATGGAAAAGTTGGCAGGGCAAACACAGAGAAACAGACAACCATTTATACTTATATTCACACCTCAGGCCAAAAAAAGAATAACCAATTAACATGTATGTCTTTGGACTGAGGGAAGAAACTACTTGGAGAGAAGCCACACAGGCACAGGGAGAACATGCAAACGCCACACCCTCCAGCAGGTTTAAACCCAGGCTTGCTGTAAGCAAGTCCTAAGCACTGCCCCACTGAACAGCCCTTTCACAAATACATATCAAATTTATTTAAAATGTCACAACACAAAATGTATGCAGTCAGAGTGTAATTATTTATTTATGTGGTCAGCTAACATCTTCCATATCTCCATTGTATATAATGACTGCCACTTTTCCTGAACCTTAACTAAGCAGTTTTAGTTGTACAAATCTACCCAAACCTTAATCATAGAGGTAGAAGTTTAGAAAAGGCACACAAATCTATTTTGTCATTCCATTTGGAGGACTTTGTATTATTTTTCATAACAAGTAACTGACTCACAAACAGTTAGTGCCTTTCCTAAAAGCCTCTTAAACCCCTTTTGAGTTGTGTGTGTTAAATTTAAAAGTTTTAAAGACACTAAACAACAAAACCAAACAAAAGCCTAGAAAAATAACTCAATTTAATCTGTTTGTTAAATAATCCATGGTTGGACCTTTCATGGCTTTAATTATGCATTTCTCTATTGAGTTATTTTAAAACTGCTATCATAATAAAGAGATAACAGTTAAGTCTGAAAGTGAGGCAACCTTCAGCAGAGGGTAAATACTCTGCCTTTCAGCAGTATTATACCTGCCATGGTCTCTTCAGATTGATGGCGATCACCTGGAAACGGTAGCAGCACAGCTCGCAGGTCCAGCAGCCCCGTTCGCTGATCCACTTCAGCAGGCACTGCTGGTGGGTATACCGCACTGAGCCGTCACACCTGCATGGGTTCAACAAGTCCCCCTGGAGACCAGAGAGAGGGCAAAGGTCAAACGTAAACAGAGATAAATTTTAAGGGAGGGGACAAACTGACACAAATACACAAATACAGTTTAGATCAGAGCTGTCAAATTCATTTTACATCGAGGGCCACGCACAACACGCAAGGCCCCCGGACCTTATGTTTGACACCACTGGTTTATATGTTAAATGATTGAGGATGGATTAAAAATCATTCCAATCATGTCAAGGAGATAGTTTAGCTTATCCAGCTGTAGCTTGAAACTAACTACTAAATAGCTAGACTATCTTCATGACAACTGATGCAGAGATGATTTCTGATTAGTCTAGCCTCAATTGTTCATCAATAATACTCACAGTGAAAGAAAAAAGCAACTGAGATTTAGTGCAAGTTCCAGGAGCAACTGTTTATTTACTGTCACTTCCATGCCATGGGCAGCTTGAGGTCCTTTGTCACTTTTTGAGTTTTATCACCCGTCTCCAAGGTAAATGGGGAAGAGTCTGAAGAAGTTAAAGGTCTGATTAAACTTAAATACCATTTGTAGGCATTTCAGTCTAAAGCAGCTTAGACCGAGTGCAAATTCTAGGAGCAACTGCTGATACCTGTGCTAAAATACTACAGTTTTTGCTGGAGCATTGACTTTAAATGCTATATCCAAAGTTTCATCCTACCAAGCTATAAAATATGATAAAACTTTGAGACCTTTCTCATTACTTGTGCAGTACTCACTGGTGCACCAGGCACACACAATTTTTGTGATTTCGTCCTGTTTATTAGGACTTTACATCCTCAAACCTCTGCTTAGATATCTGTTATTGCACGGCATCTTTAGGCATGTTAGCATCAGCAAAAACAAATGTGAGGATCAGTGCATAAACTCTAATACACCTCTTTTTTGTAGTTGTGTGACATCACCTTTAATTTTTTTGGTTAGTTATGCATGAGTAATGAAACATTTTCAATCTCTGAAATATCATTCTGTGACATCACTGGTAAGAGATGCCACATGATGGCATAACATCATTCCCTAATGATGTTGCCTATTTGAGGTTGAGGCAAGAGGCCCACAGCCTGCTGACTGCCTAGCAACAGGTAAAAAGCCCCAAATTTGAACACGCTTCTGCATCCGACCTGAAATCTAACACAAATCTAATTTCTCACCAGCAGGGGTCAACTCCTGTGATTGCAAAAACAAGTCATATCTGTTCCACTGACATCCCAAGGACTCACTGACCACTGAGAGATTTCAAAGACAGTCCAAAAGATCAGTGTATCTGATGTCATCCAAAAGTTGGCAATGATTGATGATTGGATCGTTGGCTGCACCAATGACGGCATGCTCATTAGCTAACAACTTGTGCCTTTTCAGCAAACCCTGGAAAATCTTCCTTTCTGATTCGAGTAATGACCATAATTTATTTTTACTAAAAAATATACCATTATGTTTCATTTATATGATTCAAAAACGATGACTGAGCCAATAATGCAACAGGAAAATGTTTACTGAGATCGCAGCCAAAGAGCTATTGTTTGATAGACTTTTATTCATCTGGATAAAAGTTGTATAGCCCATGGAGTCTTCCCTTAAGGCAAACGGGTTTTAGTATTCAAACCTGGAAGCTATGTTCATATACAAAGTGACTTTATCCATTAGTCTGTGGTTGCAGATAATGAAACTGATAGAGCACTTTTCTCTCCTTCTTTGTACAAGGTTCACGATATGAACTTGTGTTTCACAATCACTCTGCAAACCCTGCATATGGTAATGCAAAAGCAGCAAACAAAACCTGGAGCTATACTTGCTACTTGACATTCATATCTTGTCTCGTGTTCTTATCGTTTTGGCTACTCTCTGTAGTACCAGTGATAAATTAAACCTCAGACTCTTTTCAGGAACGGAGAGAAACTATCTGCTTTCGGTTCAATATTGGAGCTGTCTATCCAATATTAATCTTCTATCCATTTCATGGTCCATGTGTCATCTTTCCTATCATCCAAAAATTCTTGTTTTCAGGCCTCAGTTTGGCCTTTTATCCCAACATGTCATACATCAAAGAAAACACACGGCTTGTTCACCAGAGGCCCTTACCAGCATCGCTCAGATCAATGACCATTTCTCAAAGCTACAACACTTACGGATATTAACGGTGGGATGCAGCCTGACATTAATCATTACAGCCGCATCTATTTGTTCCGATGGGTTCTTTTCTTTTTTCTTCCTCTAGGCATTCCTCAAGCAGCCATTACTGCAGCTTTGACCTGCTGGCTGGGCTGTGAGTGGCATATTAATAGTATATTAAGGTCAGTGGTCAGAGAGCTCATTTTTCATCATGTCATATTAACCTTGTGGGTTTAAAAGGACCTCGGAGGCTTTCGCTTGAATGAACTGATGCAGGTCAGCTATGCACTGAAGCAGAGATTGATAAAGCCAACTTCAAGGATAATTTGAATAAGTCAGAGAATTCTCTAAAGGGGCTCTCTGAAAACAGTGCACTTATTTTAGTAACACAAGGTCGTTCCATTGAGAAGTACACAAGGTCAGAAAATAATGTAAACTATTTGTGTATTTCTTTTCCAGCTGAACATTAAAGAAACATCTATAAAGAGATGATCGTTAATGATGAGCATTGATAACATTTTATTGATTTTCCTTATCATTCCCTTCTTCCTTATTAATTCCTGATCAAGTTTCTCTGTGGGAAACTTGCACAGGTGTTCAGCATCAGTGTTGCGATTTATCAACAACTCACATATTAGTGAATCTCAACTGACTGAAGAAATAGAGCAGAAAAAGGGACTCAGTTTATGAAAAGCTCCATGGTCATGAATATGGGTGTCTGGGTCAGCCGATACTGGGCTTGGTGATTAATAATGGCATATTGATAAGCAATCAATTCACCTGTGTTCTAATCTCGGGGCATGCCAGTGTCACAGCAGTCCACACTGTGCCTTAATGCACCGGCAATAACAATATTGCAGGGTCTGACATAACCAATGGTTTGGCACCAGTAAAAAAATTATGTTGGGCGAGTTGATCAGCCAGCTGCTGTTCGGGATTATTTTTCCACCAACTGAAATTAACCTTCACTTAATAGTATTTTCATAGAAAAGTACAATTAAAATCTTTCATCAAGCCACCTATTCATGTAGTTTAAACATGAAAAAGTAACCTTGAGGTGCTCCCGTCCTCTTTGTTCTGCAGAACAGTAGCACAACTGAATTAATAAGATGTTAAAATGTCTATATGCAGATTAAATGCATTATTAGGTTTTTTAAATCATTTGGCAGCATTTGTTGGAGGCTGGCATTAACCACCCCATCGCTCTCTAGAATTAACACCTTTATGTTATGCTGAGTTTGAAGTTGTGTAGTAGTAGTGATCTTTGTGTTTTTCTTTTGTTTCCACTTTCTGAATAATTTCCCCTTTATACTTTCATTTTCATTTTGGGTCAAGGATGAAAAACTAGATGGTTGGGTTCCGGACCAAATGTTGCTTTGTGTTAAAATAGCCTCGTTCACATTGATAAATGATGAGTTGGGACTGACAGCCCTATTTCACCGATGCCATAACCACAACGCCCAAGGACACTTTGTAGTGCACACTAGCAGCTTTGACAAAACGGCACTGTTTTATGTTGAGGGAAGGAAAACGGCCTGGGTGTCAGTGGTTGATATTTATCTGTTTTGGCCCATCCTTTTGCACTGTCAAATATCCTGATGAGAGTTAAGCTTTAAAGCATTTTTATTGTATGATAAAAATTGCAATACAAATTTTCTGTCTGCAGACACAGAGAGAGGAAGTAAACAAGCAGGAAAAATATCAGTACTGGGATCTGATACTGGTTAAATTTGTGTTTGTTTTGCATTCAGAAATAAAATTTCACTGGTGCACAATAAACTTACACTTCATTGTTTTACAACGCACAACAAATGAGAATCATGACAGTATTGATGAGAGGAACTGACAAGCTCACACTTACCCCAGAGCAGATTTGGAAGTATATGATCAAGTTTAAAAATCACGTCTCATATTTTGACTTTATCAAATAGCAGTCCATTTCAACAAACTATTACCACTGACCATGAAAACTGATTCATTGGAAATGGAGTGTGACAAAATTTGAAAATAAAAGCATATTGATTACAGTGTTGAGTTTTACTTGCTGTGTGAGTACAAAACTTACACAGAAAATGCAAAGAAAGAGTTACTTAGTGTCAGCAATCAATATAAGCATATAAAAATAATCTATAATAATTTATAAAATAATGTAATAATGCATCAACATCTTGCTTAGCCTGCTGACTACCAGCTGCAAAATCAATTAAATCTCAGGGAGCTGGTTTAGCTTAGCGGATTCAAGATCATTTTAAATGACCTGGAAGCTGCTTCTGCAGACTTACTGCTTCCCCTGTTGGACCTGAGCTAGGTTCACTTATTCTCATATTTCACATTTTCTTAGTTTTGAAGTTTATCATTTTGTGATATCTCTTTGTTGCACACATTTGTGTGCACTGCTGTTTGTTTATTTTTGTGTGTGTATTATAATTGAATGTAACTGAGCTGACAGAGCTACCTATTTTGACCTGGACACCAACAACATCTCAAGAGTCTGACTTTCCAGGATAAATAACAATAAATTGTATATGAGATTTTAAATAAAATGCTCCGCATAATCGGTAATCCATAAAGGACTGGTATATTTTGCTTCTGTGTGCACCTCTGTCTATTATTATTACCATGGGGAGGATAACAGCGAGAGAAAAATTGAGCAGTCACAAATGAAACTATATGAAAAATAAAGCCCACACAGCAGCGCGGGGTGTTCAATCACAAAAAATGATTTAATGTCAAAGTCATCATTAAGGCCTTTAGGGGCTGAAGTGCTCAGTGTGTATATACAGCAGAGTTCAAGTTTTAGGAGCAAAGAGTTTATATCTCCCACTCTGGGTGGATGTTTTATTGCCTCAATATCCACATATCTGAAAGAGGAAGTGTTGCACT